ATCAGTAGCACATACCACAACAGTACTACTTAACAAGTAGTATAGTGAAACGTGTGTTAACAATATGTTTAAAATTATCAACTAATGTTGAGTACAATAGTGTTATTCAACAATATAGATAGTTTTATTTAATCAAATCATTAATGGGCATAGTGAATATAGTCCAAGTCAATAATTTTTATGTATTAAGTATGATATCAAAATTGGTTTCAACTTGACTTCAAAAAATGGAGTGATTTAAGATTTGTTCGTAATTCTAAATAACTGGACCACTGCTAATCAGCATTTTACTAGACAATGTAAAATGTAAAAATTTACAGGATAATATGTTTTGGATCAATAGAGAATCTGGAAATTGATACCCAAACAAGAAAACTAGTACATTAGCTAGGAGACGGATACATGGTTCAGTGGACTTATATCTGACTCCAGTTATCGAAATGTACATATCGCCAGTCCTCGTATGTAATTATCGACCTAACTCGTGTTATTGGATAACGGAATTAAAATAAGTCAAATACGCGAATGAAGTTTGAATACGTGTATATTGTACAATCGTTGATCGAAACAGACAATCAAAGAGATGTAACGAAGAAATCGAAATAGAATGAAACGACGCTCAATGGAGAAGACGAGTGAGCCAACTCGATTTAACCAATCATGAATCGATATTTATAGCCAAATCAAAATAATTCACAGACAAATCACGAATGGGGTAGGTAAACAACACACTCTCATATGAAAACATTCAAGGTTAATAAACGAATAATTGACAAGGTCAAAATGTGACTCAAGGAGAATGAATAAATTGATCTCTCCACAGTCTAAAATAACATATGTGGGCTTGACATAGTACCAGCTCCTATAATCGTTTCTAAAGCAGACTGCTATATCAGTGTGACGATCAATAATGAAATGAACATATACCACAATGCCTTGAATTCAAAATTTGATCGAAGCTTCTAAATATAACATATAATATGAGTATATATTCTTACTTCAAAACAAAATTTGATCATAAACCATGAAATCTACTGATAATTTATCATTAATAATAATTATTCCTTTCTTACTAGTACAGGGGTTTGTGGAGATTAAGTTTTTGATTGCGATCATGAACCGACTGATGTTAGACCACCTTTGGAAACCTGGAAGCACTGGATGGCCATTTCGTCCTATTGTGGGACTCCTCAGCAGTGCGCATCCACGATCCCGCACCCCACGAGATTCGAACCCAGGGCCTTCGTTCTCGTGCGCAAAGCTTAACCTACTGGACCGCTGAGCCGGCATCCAATGGCGATAGTGCCTAACATCAACCAATCCACGAAATTGCGCGACCATCTTCCATTGTACTGAGGTAGATACCTGTCTCTACCCAACATGGATTCTTTTCTTGTTCAATAATTATTACATAAGAGTGATAAAGTAAATCAGGTCATATTTTCCATATGGATGAAATTTCCATTCTTATTGATTTCTTGAGTTAATAATAAAACGATAGTCGTAAAAGGTCTTCCGGTTAAGATAATCTTCAAATAGACCCCATAATAGTAAAATATTCAACAGAAGTTAAGCATTTTGACGTATAAACCAAGTTGATTTTCATTCATTTGCCATATAGTAATAATGTAATGGTATTTTATTTACTGTATATTTGACAGGAACTTTGTCCGTTTCTATAAGTGTTATATCCCGATGAGAATAATAAGTGGTAACTTTTGGGATCCATTTATGGACCAATGCTAAACGTATATTTTTATCGTATAATTTTCATGTAACTAAACTATTCATAATCAAGTCCCTCTTATTATAAGCTTTATTTCAACCCATAGACTATTATTATACGATTTACCATTCTTGAGTTATGCCCTGTCTATCAATTACTATCACCCCTATTCACAACCACTTTTGGCTATATATTGTATAAATGTTGTTACTTATTTTATGGTACGATGTGGTCTGTTTGGTTGGTATATAAACCCAGTATGTTTTAAATAAATGATTTATATCGCGAGAGCTGAGATTGCTATTCCGGACTTAACAGGCAGGGCTAAGGAAGAAGATCCGATTGAGACTCTAGACTGCTCGAACGGGTTTTATGCATCATTGGTCCGGTCGATAATTCACTGTTCTCTAATTGGTTGTATCATCACTTTATACATTGATAGGGACACAAGCCCACAAGTTATTACAATAAGCATTTCAGACAATTAGATTTCATATTATTTAGACTTCAGAGAGTTAAATTATATACTGTTTGATTTGGTTTATGAGTAAACTGCTTTAAGCTCCGCCTGGAGCCCCTCTGAAGCTACTGCCGGTCCCAAGCCTGGATAAAGGAGGAAGCTTTGGCATTGGGTTAGCAACTTCATCCCGTAGAAAACTAACTCGATAAGAAAACGCTAACCAGAAAAAAATAATGTGATGTGAGAATCTTAATTCTACAAAATTGTGGCCTTATTTAATGACGTTATAAACGCAATCTAAATTATTTGTATGATTTTACGAAACCCTACTATTGATACATTTTTGTATTGTTTGTCTGAATCTTTCCACTCATGTTGATCAGTCTCGAGTCCCGAAGTGAACAACAACTCTGGGATGTTGACAAGTTTCAAACAGGACGAAACTAGTCTCTCAAATTCCACTGCTAGTCACCATCCAACTTTGCTTATAATCCTCCTATTGACAGACTAAAACATTTCACCTGAGTTAATTTGGTGATTTTACGTGCAGTTTTTAACTGGAATAAACATTTTAAATTGATGAAAATAGCTGTTATGTGGTGTACTTATAGGCTAATTTAATTCCAATTACTACTGACCAGTTTCTAAAATGACTGCTTTTCTGAATATGAAATAGAGATAGTTAACTGTCTCAACACTCACCGACATAAAAAAGCTCACTTGTAAAATACGGATTTCTTTAAAAGCCACTAGCTTGTGAAGCCTTTTTAAATAATGACCATTGTAAAAAGTAGCAGTTAGAGTATTAATGATTGATTAAGAAATATGACGCAAATTCAGTGAGGAACATCCATCCGCCTTAACTACCTTGACGCGATGATTGGACTTGACTATCATGACGAGCTAATAGATCTAGTTCGGTTGGAATATTTTTTGCTTCATGGTTCTAATGTGATATGTTGGGAAGATAAGACAGAGTTGCTCGCTATCATTTTATCAAGTTTTGCTATAGATATGTCACAAAACAAATCACTTTGTTAGGGTTTGATCTACTACATGAAGACTTATTAACCTACCTAGAATATACAGACATAAAAGACTTTTGAGAGCCTTAAGTGACAATGAAAGAATTTTTAGCTTACCTCTCTCCCTTACTTTATATAAAATACTTCTTCAGAACTGATCTACATCAATACCTAGTCTAACGATAGAAAGTGAAGTAGCTGAGTGGATAGACTAATCTACTTATTTGAAACTTCATGTAGTTGTGTCTTATTAACAAATGGAAAGTAAACTTCACTGTAGCTCATTCCCTGTTGTCTTATATTGTGTAATCCAACACATAAGCAACTGTCGCTAAGTATTCTCAAGTCTTTTTCCACGGTCAAACAAACAATCGCGCACAAGGTTTTCCTTTGTTGTCTACACTCGTTACAAGTTTATAGGAATGTTAGTCTGAAATAGAACCAATAATTAACAAAAGTACCCTGATTTTTTAAAATTCTGTTATTAAATTCCTTTTTGTTTTAAATCCTAAAAAACCTTTAGTTACTTGGTACGTTACATTGATTTACAATTTGTAACAACTTGAATTCTACTACAAATGTTTTGTATTACATTTTATACTACTTATTGTAATTAGGTAGCATGTATCAATGCCGAATAGTTGAAAACACGGTCAACTTTTTTACTCCAGACAAACGACCAGTCATTTAGAGCTGGAGATAGACATCTCCAAGTCATGTAAGTGTATCTTACCCGTTAACTGCGATTATGCTTTCAATTACTTGGTCAATCAATTGCAGATAATTCGGGATAATGTCTATTATAGAATTAATTGGAGGTATGTCTTTTGCTAAGCACTTACTTGGAATGCTGAAGGGAAATGAAAAAGAGGGAGACCGAAGAACGCACTACATCGGGAATCGGAAGCAGACGTCAAAACGATGAATGGGTACTGGAAAGGATGGATGGAGAATACTGGTGAACGGCCTACGCTCCTCCACGAGGGGTGACAAGCGTCAATATGACTTTTGCCATACTGTGATTTTTCTTCCGTCACGACACGACCTCCGTAGCATATTTGAGTGTTAGTTTCGCCGTAGAAAGCTTTACATTTTTCATGTAAGCCAGGAAAAACGACAAATAGTGAATTACAAGAGTGTAAATAATAATTCCCGCTTCATTTTGGTTTATTTCCAGGTGCAAGGTCAAAATTGTGAATGAGAATGGAATTTATCCTCACTCGTCAGTTGGCATTGTTGTTTCGTCCTAGTGTGGGACTCCTCAACAGTATGCATCCACGATCCCGCCTCGCGAAATTCGAACCTAGGACCTGTTAGTTAAGGGCGCGACCGCTGAACCATCAGACCACTGAGCTGGCCGGTATCCAACGATGTTAATGTCTAACTTCAACCAATCCACGAAATTGCTCCGCCGTACACCATTGTCTTCAGTAGGCTATCTCACAACAAACCTGGTTGAACTCCACTGGTAACAGCTTCTCACTAGAACTCCAGGAAATGCCTCTTGAAGTCAGTCCCCCCCCCGCGGGGGGCGGGATTGTGGACGCACATTGTTGAAGAGTCCCATACTACGACGAGACGGCCGACCAGTACCTCCAGGTTTTCCGTGGTGGTCTAGCTTCAATTGACTCATGATTCCAACTACTGAAATAAAAATCTTAAACAGATCAAAACAATTTCTTCCCTCTCTCCCGCTCTCTCTCTCACACACAAACACAACAAAACTTACCTCTCTGTATAAACCGAATGTAAATGTAAAACATTATGTTAAAAAAATAGTATATTTTTATCCTATTGTAAAATTGTGAAGAAAAAGAAAATACAAAAGCAAATCTATGCAAAAGTATACATTCAAGGAAAGAGAGATAATAATTGAAGAGAAGAAATGAATGGAATGGAATGGAATGGAATGAATATAACAAAATTAACCTATAAGTAGTATGATTCATTCAAGATAGTTAGTTATAACTACAAATGTAAATAGACACATGGAGAAAGGAAAATGTAAACATTGTAATTTGGAATGACAAGATAACTATTGAATGGAGATAAATGTATGATTTCAAAGTACTTTGTACAAAATATATATAGTTATATACTATTATTTACCTATATAAATTAATAGAAAGAATAACAGAATTAAGTTGGTTTAGTTATAACGTTTTAAAAAAAATGAACAAAATGATGTTTAAATGAAGTTTTTTCCCTAAACTTGATAGTTTAATCATGTAAAATTCATTACATTATTGAATCAACAATTATCAGTATATTAGGGTAGCAAAAGTGAACTTTATCAAATGGATATAGCAATTAGATCTTAAGATGAAGTTTTATTTTGTGAAAGAAGAAAGGTGTTAAGGAGATCAAATGTATTTCTCAAGAAATGGGCACTGAAAACACTGGGAAATATTTTATCCAATCAGAGTTGAATATAAGTTTCTCAGAAACATCTAGTAAGTGAAGAATTGCATGTCATACTTCTGATTGGATAATTGCCTATACTGATACTATGTTCAGTATGGTGAATCCAGAAACTACCAGAAACACAAGGCAATCTGAAATACTATGAATACCCACGACTTCCTGTGCATAAATAATATTGGTGCAAAGGGTTCTTTTCACACTTTGCGCATTTTCTCTCGTAGACCCCAGATGCCCTGGCACGGCCGACGGTACGGAGTCAGCCCACCTGCTTCAAATGATCTCACATGGCCACATGCATACAACCACTAACAGGGAAGTCCTACTCACTGCCTTCTCGCGGCATTACTGTTATTTACGAAATTCAGAGGACGAAAAGCCAATGTCCAGAACTTTAACCGGGTTGATGGATACAGAGTCTACCTAGGGGAGTTGGACAACGTGATTCCAAACTAATGGTGCACATGGGCTCCGTTATCCTGAAGGATAAATGTCGTATGAACCAATCGTTGGTCACCAGCTAACATAAGACTGCATCTCCTGACGTTGCTGTACTACATTTTGAATCAGACCTTTAGGTAAAACGTTCCGGGTGTGGCCCCCCTAAGAAAACTACCTGCCTCGGTTTGGTCACCCGTGCAGTATCCCAACCTTCATACAAATCGAATGATCTATGTGGCGCATAACTACTTGGTACCTTTTTGTACCAATATTCAAGTGTTTAAATAAATAATAAATGTGTACATTTTAGTCTGGGGTTATAAAAAAATTTAGGAAACTGATTCAAGTGTACAGTTGGAAAACTTATCATAAACCACCCAGCTTAGATAACAAAACTTCATTGAAATGATCTACCTGACTTATAAATCTTTTCAATCATATCAAAATCATACGAGCATGACAAGTTTTTAATGATTATTTATGATCATTTTAGGAATATACTGTGGTGCGTGCTACTTATATTGATATAAGTAGTATATAACGTGAGTCAAAAGAACGTAATGGCTGGCAGCAGAAGATGGAGAAGATCAAGAAAAGAAGAGCGAGAAAACAATGGAATTTGTAAGAAATCGCATGAGCAATGAAATGCGAGACAATGGATTGATGTTTGCAACAGCAACAGCCCGGTTTGATATGATAGAATGATATTTTGCAAATTAACGATTTACTATATGGTTTTTCTAATTTACCAAGTAATTCTGTAATTTGTCCTAAATACAATTTGGCTGTCCTCACCTGTGTTCTTCTTCACTACATTTGGTGTCGCTGCCTCCACTGAGGATGAAGATCCCATGGCCGAAGGAGTTTGAGGACGGAGATGTGCTGAGCTTCCTGAAGGAGTTTGAGGCCGTGGCGGAGCTGGTGGGAGTGAAGGAGCCGAAGGCGAAGTTGGTGGTGCTGGGGACGCTGCTGAGAGGCAGGGCGAAGGCGGTGTATGACAGCCTGGACGGTGCTGGCGGAAAGACCACATGGGAGACAGTTACGGAGCGGTTGGCGGCGGAGTTTGACAGCCCAGTGGACAGAGAGGACGCGCTGCAGAAGTTCCGGTTGGCGAGGTTGCCGGTCGATGGGGACCCACTGGTGCTGGCTGTGGAGCTTACCAGATTGTTACGCCGTGCGCTGCCGAGTCTGGATGAGGAGTCGGAGGCACAGTTGTTGGCGTCACAGTTTATCGAGAGTGTGCCTGCCACCGTCTCCCAACAGCTGAAACTGGTGAACGCAGCGCAACCGATGGACATCAGTGAACTGGCGAAGGTGACTCGTCAGCTGATGACGCGAACAGTAGCTCCGGTCGGGTGCGGAAAGCAGATGAGTAATGTCGAGAAGAAGATTGAGGAGCTGGAGCGCGAGATTGCAGCAATACGAGTGAACAATAAAAGGAACGATAAATGTTACGCTTGTGGAGGGACAGGACATTGGAAGATAAACTGTCCAACAAGACGAAGACGTAGATATGTTAGACGTTACAACGAGTGTTCTTTCTATCCTAAGAATCTGGGGATTGTTGCGTTAGTAGACAGAGGGGCAGTATATACGAGAGTGAACATAAATGAGCGAGATTTAGTTTGTCTGATCGATACAGGTGCAGCAGTATCGTTAATAGGCAAAGAGCAATGTAAGAGAATCAAGCCGTGTACATTAGCTGTCCACACGATAGGGGGCCATATGTTAGAGGTGTTTGGTGTATCTAACAGTATCGTAAAAGTGGGGGATGCGGAGATAAATTTTCCGTTCGTCGTAACCACAAGCTTATCGAGACCGATATTAGGAGCAGATTTCCTAAGAGAAGTAAAAGCGATAGTTGACTTAAGAAGCGGTAAGGTGGTCACGAAATATGGTTCATTGACAATACACGAAAGTAGCGAAGTGGCTGAAATAAGAGTTGCAGCGGATGTCTCGTCAAAGAAACCAAACATTCACGAGTTATGCAAAAAGTATGCGGAACTATTCACTGGAGATGGGGAGCCGTATGGATTTTGTGACAGAGTAAAGCACGAAATACCGATAAAGAACAGTCGAGTAAATATATTTGCAACACGTCGTGTCCCGGTGCATTTAGAGGCCGAGGTAAATCGTCAGGTCCAGGAAATGTTAAAAGAAGGTATAATTGAGGAAGCGGACAGCCCATATAGCTCGCCGGTACTCTTGGTAAAGAAACCAAATGGAAAGTATAGATTTTGTGTCGACTTCAAAGAATTGAATAATATAACAGACCTGAAGCCTTGTGCGATGCCAACAGTGGTGGAAACATTAGATCGGCTACAGAATGCCACGGTGTTTACAGTGCTGGATTTATGGTCAGGTTATTGGCAACTGCCTATAAAAGAGAGTGATCGGAGCAAGACAGCGTTTACTGTACGGGATAAACAGTATCAATTTAAACGAATGCCGTTCGGGTTGGCGGGTGCACCGTTCACGTTCAGAAGATTAATGACACTACTGCTCAAGAATCTAGATAATGTCGAGGTATATGGCGACGACGTAGTTGTGTACAGTCAAACAGAAACAGATCACATCAAACATGTGGAAGCGGTCTTAAAGCGAATTGACGAATTTGGACTTCGGATTAATAAGGACAAGTCGCAGATAGCGAAAAGTAGCGTCACATTGTTGGGACATAAAGTGGGAAATGGAGAAATAAAACCATTGCCGGAGAAAATTCTTACCATAAAAAATATTGCAGTACCTAATTCGAAAAGGAAGTTGAGACAGTTCCTGGGAAGAGCGGCGTTCTACAGTCGGTTTGTCAAAAATTTCAACGAAATAGCAGCACCCTTATATAAGTTATTGAGCAGCACCAAGTTTACGTGGACTGAGACTGCCGAACAAACGTTCAACCGAATCAAAAACATGCTAGACGATCGCCAGATGACGCTTAGACTGCCCGAACCGGGAAGACTGTTTACAGTGGCCACAGACGCGAGTGATCATGGTATAGGTGCTGTGTTGAGTCAGGCTGATAGAGTGGTGGAATACGCGAGTCGCGTCCTCACACCTGCTGAACAGAAGTATTCAACCATCGAAAAGGAGTGTTTAGCGATTGTGTGGGCAGTGGAAAAATGGAGACCATACCTTTTAGGTAGACGATTTCACATTGAGACGGACCATAAACCCCTGCAGTGGTTGAAAACAGCAAGAGACCCCCGAGGGAAGTTGGCGCGATGGATGATACGCCTGCAAGAATACGATTTCAGTATCGGCCATGTTCCAGGAAAAGAAAACGTAATGGCAGATTACTTGTCAAGACCAGACATGGAAGCCGACCTGCCATTAACAGCATACGCGGTGAATAGTTTAGAGGGAGACCCATTAGAACTCGTCCGGCAGCAGAAAGCTGACCCTAACCTTCGAGAGGTAATCAGAGTGATAAAAGAGGGAGCAGACGTAGATAAACGAACAATGGACAAGGAGGTAATAACGCTGCTTCGGCAAAAGGATCGACTGAGAGTGAACTCATATGGAGTGCTGACCTGGCAGGACGATGATGAAAATTGGGTGGCGGTGATCCCGAAAGACTGGCGGCGTAAAGTGATACACGAGTGTCACCAGGTAGCACATACAGGCATCGCAAGAACGACGGACTTACTACGACAAAGTGCATACTGGCCGAACATGAGAGACGATGTGGCTGAATACGTGTTAACCTGCCAGCAGTGTCAGCTAATGAAAAGCGATCGATACACACAACCGCCATTACAGTCAATCCCAGTAACCGCAGTCGGTGATCTATGGTCGGTTGATGTGATGGGACCGTTTCCACAGACGGCGAGCGGTAACCAGTATCTGTTAGTGATGACGGAACATGCCACACGTTGGGTAGATGCCGTACCCATTGCAGACCAGCGGGCAAGGACAGTGACCGAGGTGGTAATCCGGCATATTGTAGCGTGTCACGGAATACCGAAGATGATATTAACTGACCAGGGTCCCTGTTTTGAAAGTGACGAGTTTAAAGCCCGTTTAAAGCAGTTTGGCATCAAGAGAATACGAACTACACCGTATCATCCTCAGACAAACGGGCTTACAGAGAGAAACAATCGGACGTTAAAGGAATGGTTAGCATCAAAAGGAGGAAATTGGGAGAAAGAGTTACCATTGATTTTGCTGGCACATCGTTCCTCAACACAAGGAACAACCAAGAAGTCACCTTTCTTGCTCATGTATGGCAGACAACCACGACTTCCAAT